TAATTAGGAGGCACTTCAATACCCTTTTTTTCATACAAACAATAATTTCCAATACAACTTTTCAAAATGCATTCCTACCCCCACAAAAATATACTCATCTGGTCCTATTTATAAGACAGAGATAAAAGTTTTTTTATCCTATTTATAAGTTATTTTATTAAATTTTCAATGTGAATGTATTATTTTTGTCCTTCATTTATTATGGTATATGTAGTTATCTTTTTTGAAATGTGTATATATTAAATATGGGTAAAGTTAAAAAATTGTTATATTTTAATAGAGAGTTAATACATTTTAAAGTTTTTTTTAGTCTGTGTGAAATATGTTGAAAATGCCTTATAAATAGGACTAGAAGAGTAATTATTATAAAGTGCTTTCCACCGATTTTTGCTTTTCAGATCTCTACACACACACACCCGCAAACACATGAATAATTTCAATGATGATATTTAATTAAATTGTTTCAGTGAGTCTGCTCCTTTTTTCTTTGTTTGGACATATTATTGCCTTATTATCTACCATTACAATTTGGCTACAATTTTTTTTACTAGATATATGTATCTTTTTATTAGAAACAATTACGTTAGAGAGATATTGCTGGAGATTAAAAGTGGACAGCTTTTAACAAACATTGTCGCAATTTCATGTGTTGGCTGACAAGAAAAAAGGGGTGACTTTTAAGGATCGGTTACTCAAAAGTCATGACCGAAAATTAAATTAGCGGCGATTTTACACGTACACACTACAATTTTGGTGCTCTCCTTCGTTCATGTACCAAGCTCTCTTCTAGAATAAATTCATTCAAAATCATTTCGACGCTTGTTAATTAATTGATTAATATTTTTCAGTTTTATTCCTGTTTCAAATTTCTAAAAGGAGAGTTTAATTTTAATTAAAAAAACCCATATAGAATCATTATGTGCTATGCATTTTTAGAGAGGCAAACTTATTTGCTGATTGGCTTGAGATTCTTAATTTGGCAAAGCGGTAGAAATCCCTGATAAGCACGTTTCACGTAAGTTGAAACCAAACTCCTCTTACATATTTGTCCCGTCTTCTGTAAATTACTATTAAAAAACAATTTATAAGTTACTTATAAGCTGTTCCAAACGGGCCCTAAAAGGTTTGTACTTCTACTTGAATCTTTTGCCTATACGCTCTTCTTTTGGTAATGTTGAACAGGGATTTTGATGGATAAAGACTTGTCCGACAAAGCTCGAGTAAGAGTTGAATGATTTTGTTTCTGTTTTTGTCATTTTTACTTTTTTTAAATTGTTGAATTGTGTTTGTTACTCGAGTTTATTTGGTGCCTTTTTTTTTTTGCATTAATGATAGTTTTTTTTTGGTTACCCACCCAGTTTACCAGAGCTTTGCTCCGACTACATCTGGATCCGACCCGCGTCGCGCACCTGGCTGTGGTGGGTGAGTCTCCCAACAGGGATTTCTGCATACGCTGAAGCTCGAACTCGAGACTTCACTTAAACGGTACCAAGCCGCTTACCACTTGGACCAACCCCTATTGGTTGCATTAATGATAGTTGATTTAGAATAATAACCACCTTATTGAAAAAGAACCATGTGAAGCTCCACATGGATTAAGTTAATGAGAGGTATGCTTCTGGGCTGCAAAATAGCTTCGGGAACCTATGCTGCTCTGTTCCTCTTTTTGCTCTTTTGGCCAGCGAACTATGCTGCTCTTTTCTCTGATATTGCTTTGCCATTTTCAGTACTGGAGCCCAAAAATTAAATGAGTGGCCATCATTTTTTTAACATTTTTATAATATTTTGCTGTCCAAATAAATGGTTTTGTTGGGCGTCGGTCTGGTACATATTAGTAAATCCTAATGGTTGAATTAATGATTTTTTGTTTTGGGCGTTGCCCTTAAAACAGTAAGTAATACTAGAACTAGTTTGATTTTTAATTTTATTTATTTATTTTTTTAGATAGTTTTTGTAATAATAATAGTTCTAACTAACACATTTGATTGACATTGATATTTTAATAAAAATAGTACCTATTTATTATAAATAACTAATTTAACTAATTTTTTAATTTATTTAAATTAGTCAACTGGCTGTTATATTAAGGGCCAAAGGTAGTATTGTCTTTCCTTTTTTTTTTTCCTGCAACAAATGTCTTTCCATGTCTAAACTCTTATCTATGGCGTAATGAAAAACAAAATAAGTAAAATATGTTTTTCAAATAAAAACTCCTCTTAGGTTCTACTATGTTCTTTTATATAGGTCATTTATATAACATCAAATGTCAAAAAATACATTAAATCGATAAAAAATTTCACATTTATCTATTTAGTGTATTCAGTGAGGGTACAATTAAGAAAAGATCATTAATTATTCTATAAGTAACTTTTATATAAAAATAGAGTGTTATATGATCGAGGACACTTCAAATATATATAATGTATGTTAATAAAATCAACTTTTACAAATCTCTTAAAACATGGACTTATTTTTTCAGTTTTTAGGGTCATCCACAATGGGCACCCACAACCTTCTAGGCGTAATTACTCAGCATACATTAACCAAGATAAGGTAAAAATAGAAATATATTTCTTAAAACTACAAGATGTCCTACATTGTGAAGAGGAGGAAGTATATCTCCAAATAAATACTAATAAAAAGGAAAATATGTAGCCTAAGTTTGTTCTATCCATTATCTCAACTCCTCCAATCAAATATGATCGTATGTTCTTTTTTTTTCCATGTAAATTTATAATTAAATAATAATACTCATTCTGTTCTAAATGTAAGATTTATTTTATAGTGTAATTTACATTATAAAATGGATATTCTATTTAAAATACAAAATTATATGTAATTAGAAAAATTAACATAATAGATATAAGAAACATGACGTGAGTATTGTGTTAATAAGAATATGTATATACTACTTCCATATTACTTCCGATCTTAAATATAAAATCTATTTTGTAATATAATTTGCACTGTAAATTAAATTTCTGAGTAAAAGATCCGGAAAAAAAGCTTAGGGCATGTTTGTTTTTCACTTTTGGAAAATCAATAGTCTGTTTGAAAAGATTTCAGTTTCACAGGTCAAATGGGAAAGCCCATTTAATGCTTTTGAAAATCCATTGCCGAAAAACTTACCCGGATTGCTTTTCAAAGTTACTTTCAGCCGTGGAATAACTTACATTTTAATGGTAAAAGCCAGTTTAGGTTACTTTCCAAACGACGATCAATTAATAAATTGACTTTCAAACATAAATTCTATTACAATATAACTAACTTCTACCGAACTAGCTTTTGACAAACTTTCAACAAACTAAACCAAACACACTCAATAAATTTGAAGTTAAAGACGCATACATTATATTACTTCTGATTTTTAATATAAAAAATAGTTGACTAATTTGAGTAGATTAAGAAAATTAGTTAAATCAGTTATTTGTAATAAATAGGTGTTGTCTTTTTTAAAAATCCTTACTAATCAAATGTATTAGTTAAAACTATCACTCTTATAAGGATTACCTTAGGAAAAAAAATATGATAGATAAAGTGAGTTAAAATTTTATATTTAAGACTAAAATAAAAGTCAAACGATCTTTTATATTAAGAACTAAAGGTACAATTTTTTTCATGCTTCATAATGTAGAGCCTCAGACCAAGAAAGAAAGCTGAGATTTAAAAAAACAGAAAAAAACACCAAAAAAAGAAAACGAAGGAGCCAAAAGACTGCAAAATTATAAAAATTTAAAATTAAATTTATATATATTTTTTTCCTTGATCAAATTTATATCTTGTATGTGAATAACCTTTCACAATAATTTTAGATGATTATGGGCTTGTTTGGAATGGGGATTAAAGCTTTGAAAAGCAGTTTTTCCATCGTAATTTATGGAATATAAAGTAAATATATGAAGATAGTTTTTTCTCTACTTTAAAAAAAATGTTTGAATTAAATTTTTAAAAGTAATTTTATGAAATTTGATTAAGAATGCTAGAGAAATTTTATTTTAATTTACGTAAAAGTCCCCCCCCCCAAGTGTTGGCAGGGACCTCTCAGCGAAGCCACCATCGGCTTATCATTAACATTTTGCGTAAAAATGGGCTTTTGATCTGAGAATAATTCAGAAGGCCCATTTGAAGACAAGTTAAGGAGTAGTATGATGGCCCAATATTTGAGTCCCAAAAAATGGCAGGAAAAACGATAAATGAAGATCACAAATGACTGATAATCATAATTTAGAACCCCCAATTATTGAAATTTCAATTACCGATCATAGTCCTTAATTATAATCTAAAAAAATAACTTTGCCAAAGAAATAAGTCGGCCCGTGGCAAGCCTTTTTCTTTTTTTTCTTTTGGGAAAAAGTTTAACCACAGGAAACTTTTTTATTTACAATTAAGGATTATGGTGTTTAAATTGAATTTCACTATTTTGATATTTTAATTTATAAATTGTCAATCTTTTGCAGTCCTTGTGTATGATTTTCTCAAAATAGTATAATCACCATTTATATGTATCTATCTGATCAAGACCAAGTCACAAACTCGACATTATAGCAATTCAGGGATCTAAAAATTCAATTAGGAATTTTATTTAATTTGTAATCAAAATGAAGCAATAAAGGTCAAACCATAAACTTTATAATAATCCCAATTCCACACCTTAAAATGTAATCTCTAAATCTTACCATCACACTCTATCTTTTCATACTTCATTATATCCCCCAATCTCCATCCCCCTCAATTACAATCAATCAATTTAGTACTGAAAAAACTGATAAATACCCATCAAAATGAAAGCTTTATTTATTAAAATCATCAATTTATGGCATGAAATTACAGATGGAATCGATGCACGTTATAGCCTCCCACTTGCAAAAGAGTTTCCATGCCACTAACCACAAGGTCGTCAACCCCAAACTTATTTTTTTTCTAACAATAACCTTAAACTTTATAAGAAAATCTGCATTATAGTCAATCGATTTATTACTGTAGAAATCTATAAATGCCTATTATGACGAAACTGTAGGATTAAGCAATGCATATCTGAGAAAGTCCTCATCTTTCTGTAAGACAGCCAGATATTCTTCTGGCATAGTGATCCAAGCCTCAATTCCTTGGCTTGTATCAATCAGAATAACACTATTAGGAACTGTTTCCTGTGTTCCTCCTCTGAAACCCACCCACAGTGGCTTGCCCCATCCAAAATCCATCTCATCGAACCCCAAATTACACCAACTTGAGAACACAAGTGGAATTGGCTTCTTCTCCTCTATCCCTTCCATCAACATCCCTCCACACTCAGCACTCAGCAGAAAATTAGGGTCTCTTTGAATCCTCAAGAACAAGTCCTTATTGACGCTTCCTATATTCTGTCTCGTGATTTTCACTAAGTCATTGAGACTGATATCGTCTGTGTAATTGGCCTTGTCATAGGGTATCATCACTGGCCAGTGCAGGTTTCCCATGGAGTTACTGGATAAAGGGTCGCCCCTTTTTCTTCTCGCGTCCACTATGTGCATTAGTAATACCAAAGATATTATGCCTTTGCTTTTATATGCAAGGATCATGTGCTTGGAGATGAAAGAAGACAGCACTTGGTAACGTGTAGGATTCGGTAAACCTCCATCATCATCATCTTTTACTTTGTTTCTCAGGTTATTCATGGCCTCCTCAGTGAACACGAATCTGGAAAATAAAACTGATATGTCATATATATATATATATATATATATATATCAATTCAGCTCATAAAAAATGTATCCAGTTAATATTCGAGATTGTTATCAAGAAAATTCAATACAGTTAATAAGGATTTTGGCTCATAATATATGAGATCATAGCTTCAAACCCAACTGCCACTAATATAAGAATTTTGTTGATGAGCTATTTATAAACATATACCTGTTTTCTTTAGCCAGAGGCGTGCTATCACTCACTTTCTCTCTCTCTCTCTCTCTTTTTATGTAACTATCTGAAGGAGTCAGAGTATTATTAAGTAAAATTAGAGTTAGTTCTTCTAGCTAAAAGTGTTTTCTGCATCTATATGAGCTTAAACTCGAGAACTTATGTTTAAACATCCAAAGCCCTTTCTACTAAAACTAGTGATTAACTGGCTTAAACTTTCTATTGGCAAAAAATTTATTAAGCTTGTTACGAAATCACCTTCTTATGGTGCAATTGGCTTCAACTTTTGAGGAAGAAGAAACAAGGCCGGCACGCACACGGGAAAAATCTATGGGAGGGAACACGGCAAATGCAGAATCAAAATCCGGCCACTCGATGTCTTCTCTTTTATTCCGACAAATCGCCGACCAAGTCTTCAACAAGACACGGCACGAGCAAGCATCCATGATGGTATGAAGATTACACACCCCAATGGCCACACCGCCACACTCGAAAGTGTTAACTTGAACCAGCAAATGAGGCAACGATCCCGGTGGATGAATCTTGCACGGCTCGCATGGAAGAAGCTGGTTTAGATATTCTGTTTTTGGTGGGTTCAGGAAGTCGGAGATGGAAGTGTTCACGGTGGCTTCATAATAGACGGCTCCTTCGTCGTTGCAGGAGACGGAAACGAGGTCGTTTCGTCGGCCGGCGAGAGGGTAGAAGATGGTTAGGGTTTCCGAAAGCGAGTGTTTGAGAATGTTATTGGGGTTTGTGAAGGTGGGGTAGAATAAGATTACAGGGATGTAAGTGTTACGGTGGAGGATGTCGAAGGAACAAAGCTTGAAGGTTTTGTTTTCTGGAGAAGTGGGTTTGGATGGCTTGATGATTTCTCTTGAAGTCACTTTGATTTCCATCTTAAATCACCTCAAAGATTACAGCTTTTACTTTGATTTCTAGCTCAGTCGAGGTGGCTAGAGAGAGAACTAGATAATATATAGAGAGGAATTATAAAATGAGTTACGTTCATGAATATGAGTTTATATTACTAATTAATATTAGAGGGGTTATATCAAGGGCGTCATTGATCATCATTCGGTTATACAGATTATTATGCAAATTATAACTCCATATATGTTTAATTTAGTTCAGGCCTTCAATTTATAGGTTACGTGTGCGGGTGCGTAGTCAAAAATATTTTAAAATAATTGATTTTTAAATGGTCCGTATTATTTTTTTAAAAAACTAGTTGAGATGGAGAAAATGCAGAATAGATATAATTTTTAAACAGTCAATTTGATAGTAAATAATAATTTAAATAAAACTTATGCTTGACTTTAATTACTTACCATGCATTTTAAATGTGAAAAGTAAGCTTTCCTTTACTTTTTTAAAATTTTATGTTGATTTCGTTTTAGGCTAAAAATGCCCCTATGTTTTGAGAATTGAATAAAAGTAAACAATTGAATAACTGATGTGGATCTATAAATGCATCACATACGATGTTAATTATAATCTCTAAAAAGCAGGTGAGTTATAAATATAAATCCCTAGGATGGACATTGTGTGTTTTTATATGTATGTATATGTATATATAAAAGATGTTAGAAGTCATTTGCGCTTGGCAAATCAAGGCTACGAAGATTTGAAAATAATCTAATTTCACCAAAACCCTTACTATGGAGGTAAAAAACTGCTTTATTGATTAAATTAATAGGTTAAGGTGTAAATTGTCCCGAAAGTTTGTACTTAGGAGCATTGGATATTCAGAAGTATTTTTTGACTCAATATCGCTCTTGAAGTTTTTCAAATCGTAATAATGTCACCTTGACAGTTATTTAGGTTAAGTTTGACCTTAGTTGACGAATTATGCTGAGTTGGCATGTCTACTTATCATCCACGTCATTTTTCTTTCTAAGTTAAGTGCAAATTTACCCTGAAAGTTTTTACTCAGGAGCGCTGGATATCTGAAAGTTTTCAAATTGTAGTAATATTACCCTAATTGTTATCCATGTTAAATTTGATCATTAATTAACCAAATATGTTGAGCTAGTAGATCTGTGTGATATATCCACTTCATTGTTTTTTTAGGGGGAGGATTTAGCATTAATTCTGCAAAATCACTGCTTCTATACTTTCCAAGCTTGTGATTATTCTCAAAATCGTCCTTATCGTTTACATCTTTTAAGAATTCTCGAGTATCTTCTCTACGTATATTATTTATTATATTTTTATACTACTTTTGTTCTTACAAAAAGTACTAATCTAAAAGCGAATGATGGAATAATAGAGGGATGAAAAGAGTTGTTTTTGTGTGGGAAAAATGGCACTAGGGTTATAAACTAGAAATGAAGTGGATAACTTGAGAAAAAAAATGAAGTGAGTCACACGTGGACATACCAGCTCAGCATATTTGGTTAGCTAATGGTCAAATTTAACATGGATAACAGGCAGGGCAACATTGCTATAATTTGAAACTTCCAAATATCCAATGCTTCTGAGTAAAAACTTCTGGAACAAATTTACATTTAACCCAAAAAAAAAAGACGTGGACGACACATAGACATACCAACTCAGCATAATTGATCAACTAATGGTCAAACTTAACCTGGATAATGGCGACATTGCTATGATTTGAAAACTTCCAAGATGACGTTGAGCCAAAAAATACTTTCAGATATTCAGCACTCCTAAATGCAAACTTCCGAAGTAAATTTGCGCATTAACCCTTAAATGAATTTTTATAATTGTGTAGTATAAACTCACCTTATTGATGGCAGGACTAGTGGGCTCCAACTAGTTGGGATATTTTCATTTGTGGTAATGGGCCCTTTTTTGAGAGTGGGCCGAAGAAACCGCATTGTAAAAGAGGCGCATTTTTCAACAGAGTCTGTACCCAAATTTTTTCCCCCAACAGAGTCCTTCGATATAGATTTTTAAATTAATTCAATTGAACCATTAAATTAAAATAATCAAACTGAATAGTGAATATTCATTTTTCATATCTTAATTTGGTATGTGGTAATTAAGAAGAAAAAGAAGTCATACATGAAATAACAAAAATGTGTCGGGGACTTGGGGGTTGTTGTTTCATACAAATATTAGAGCTTGATAGGTTTATTTAGATGGAAGGATAATGTTTTTTTTTTGGGAATGATAACTGTATACAACTTAAAAAAAAAGTTACACAACAGAAACTAGAAGGAAAAGACTCCTAGTCTCTCTCATCATCCTCCTCCTCCTCCCGGGTAAGAGGTGGGGATGATCAAAGATACAAAAAATATCCTGTGATCTATGAGCGGATTTAACCAACATATCCGCAGACTTGTTCCTATCTCTACCCACATGATTAATCCCCACTTGCCAATTCCTGTGAAAAATCAACCTAGCACCATCCGCTATATCCTTGTAAGGGTGATCTTTTATCACATCCCCTACCTAAAAAGTTGATCACATGAACGCAATCAGTAATAATAATCACTTTTTTCAAGCCCCTTTTCCAACGTATGTGCAAACCATAAATTACTCCCAACAGCTCCACGATGGTTGGCTGCACCGATGAGAGCTTACAACCAAAACCCACACTCCAATTGTGATTTCCATCCCACACCACACCTCCCCAGCTGCTGTCACCGTTCGTGAGTACAGACCCATCGATTTCTAAGAAAAACTAAAGAAGAAGGATAATGTTGTCCCTTTTCTAAAAGGAAAACTAAGGGTAATATTCCTTGAGCATAAACATAAGGACTGAACTGAATATCATTTAAATTTACAAGGATAAAAGACATAATTAGGCTAAACGACAGCGCAAACGGTATTCTGGGAAATGCACATTTATGAGTATTTATCCTGGGGTTTATTATTCAGTTTTATGTAATGGTCCATAATTCCAGAATATTCGACAATGCACTATGTGTTAACCAAAAAGCTAGCCTAGTGACATCCAATTGGAAAATGAGTCACGAAAGATGGAAGAAAGTGACTAGTTAATTAACCACGTTTGTAATTTATAAACAAGATCTTATAATTAAAAACAGAATACTCCTCCGGTCCTTAATATAGGATTCAATTCTTGAGTTGGTTTTGGTCCTAATATAAGACCCATTTATCATATTTATCAATTTTCTCTAAATTACCCCTATAGACACTCCCTCAACCATAATTAAATAAAGAGGGAGAGGAGGTATTAAAAAAGATGATTATGGTGTTTTAGGAAAAATGTGTCACTTTTCTTATAATTAACTAACTTACCTAACTTCCTTAATCTAATCAAATTAGTCAAATGGGTCTTACATTAAGGACCGGAGGAGTAGTATATTAACTTAAGGAACTGTTTAATTAATTTAAATAAATTAAATAAAGAGAAAATCGTAAAAAAAGACTTTGAAAATAGAACAATTGCAAATAGGAACCCATTACAATATTAGTATGGGTTTTGATAACAATTGAATTGATAAGCAAATAACAACAATTTTTGTGAATAGGTCCTTGTATATAGTTCTTTTTATTTTCAAGGTCTTTTTTTATGATTTTTTTTCTTAAATAAATTATTTAATTATATAATAAATGTGACATGATAACCTCTTTAAAATACGTATACAATGTTAGATTATATATTAGTTTATAAGTTAGATAAAACTTAGTTTTTGGAAAATCATAGATATAAAAAATAAAATGAATTAATACCTTATATTTAGAATTAGAACCAACTCCGTCACTAGCTCTCATATTTAGGATTAGAGGAATAGACAATTTGACATATAATTCTTTTAATATCTCACCCATTTAGGATTAAAGGAATAGACGATTTCGCATATAATTCTTTTAATATCTAAGTCCATGAAAATTCACATATTCCTTGTGTCAGAATCTATATAATACTACCTCTTGTCAGTTGTCTTAAATATTGGAGTTAAGTAAAAGATTTATTTTAATTCTAAATTTAAGATTTCAATTCATTTTATCCTCTAAATTTATAATGTTTTATTTAAAGTATTCTTATTAATTACACATGGTAAAGGAGTTTTCATTAAAAAATAGTTACAATGCACATGATTAAAAAATACTACAATTAATTGGAAGCAATAAATATGCAAAAAGTACAATTTATTTTCAAAAATACCCTTATTTGTGAAAAATGCGGCTAAGAGAGAATAAGTAGAAAGGAGACAAGAAAGAAATGTAATTAATTAAGAATAAATATGAAAAAAAGTAGTAAATGTCTAAAGATCTCCAAAATACCTCCTATGAGGGGAAAAAAAAAAGAACATGTCTTTTGAAAAAAGTGTCTCTTGTAAATAACAGAATTAGAGGGAATGATGCACTAACTCTGTATTATGATCTTTTTATATTAATAATATTTGTCTTTTTATATTATTCTTCTGATTCTAAATATTAAATTTACTTTATAACGTAATTTATACTATGAAATGAGTTTTATGTTTAGGACGGTAAAATATATTATTCATTAATTAATCTCGTTTTGAGCGCGTTCATACTGCAGCACCTTGCTCTATTCGATTAGGAATTAACTGTAAATAAATTAAAGTGTAAAAGACAAGTCCGATCCTTCTTTCAGCAACTTCCAACTAAAAGTTAACGTTCCTTTTCATTTCAATATTGAATTGAGCCTTCCGATGCAACATAGCTTTTCTTTATTTTTGTTTTAGGTTTTGTCCCTATTAGTTGTACCCTTCATAAGGAATACTTAAACTTCTATATCAATTTGTCATATATAATAATAATAATAATAATAATAATAATAATAATATATGATTCTTTTTTAATACTATACGTCGTACAAGCTTACATCAAGTTTCATTTTGTATAAATACTACCTCGGGTCCTTAATATATTTGAGCCGTTGAAACATTTAAATAATAATTCTAAACGTCTACCATGATAATTAAGCTTTTGT